AAAACAACAATTTCACTGCTAAATTACAAAATACTCAACATTTGCAAATTATTTTATTAAACATGTTACAATATTTTTACAATCATAACTTATTTGCAAGGTAAAATAAAGTCGTACATGTTTTCACAATCACATGGAAATAAAATTTATAGTAACGGCATGTATGTAATCATAAAAACAACCTCAATATTTTATTTTAATTTTTTTTATAATACTTTGCATGAAAGGTAATAATAGTTTTATTATGTTATATATGGTATTAAAGATTCTTGTGTTGCAAAAATATGAAAAATTAGGAGCTATATATATACACAAAAATTGTGTGATATGCATGTAAATGCTCCTAAAATAAATAAAATATAAAATTTTCATTCATAACCTTTAATAAAAAATTATATGATTAAACTCGAACAAATTTTTTTTATTTTCTCGTTGTCACATGAAAAACTTATAAAAATCGTATTGCTTTCGTACTTTGATTTTAATGTTTTTTTCCATTCTCGGGTTTTCCATTAGAAAGACATACGTAGCCAAAATTAGCTTAAACTCCAAGTTATACATCTTAATATTTCTTCTTCCACCAATGCTATTTGAATGCATACAAAAGCTAAAATCTACACATTCTAGTTGTGTACACATAATATACAACAGATAAATCCTACATCCACCTGCCTTGCCAATATAATTACAGTAAAATAAAAATAATAATAATAACAAAAACACGAAATTACATATCCGAGTTTTCGGAGTTCCATGAGAAAGAAGCAGGCTTCAATGGCTTCCCATTATAGTCTCTGATGCTGTTCAAAGCACGAGCCGGGCAACGAAAGAACTGATTTTTAGCAGCTGATAGTGGGCATCTCATCATCTTCAGGATGGCAGCTTCATCATGCAGAGAGAATGGAGATCTGATGAAAAGAAAAATATGTTGATAAAGATCTAAATAATTAACAGAAAATGTTAGTGAATGAGGATAAATAATTACCCGTTAAAGTCAAAATGAACTAACTGCATGTCTTGGGAAATCTCTATTTCAACAGTGGCCTTTGGATTAGTCTGTTTATTCAGAATGTTGTGGAAGGTTACCATATTGAACTAACAGGACAAGGCAATGACAGATACAATGAAAATTCTACATTATATGCCATATAGTTATTATGCTATACAGGATAATATCGAACCCATCACAAGCCACATAATGTTTTCGGGGAATTTACATGCATACCATATCTTTTTTGCTTTTTTTGTATATATATATATATATTAGGAAGATTTACATACATATATATAGGAAGATTTACATACATATCACTCAATTCTTATGTGTTTACACAAATATATAGCACCTAATCTTTAATTTTTACATGAATGCTACCTTAACTATGCATGAAAAGGTGTTTTTCACTTTTTAAAAATTAAAATGGTGGTATTTTTTATGTGATCTAAAAGATTTGAGTGTTATAAATGTAAGAAATTTAGATGTTATAAATGGAAATACAGGGGAATTGGGTGATATATATATATCTAACACCTAAAATTTGATAATAATTAGCACTATAACCTAATAATAATATCAAAGCATGGATGAAACAGTGTCCTTCACTTTAAAAAAAAGTCAGTATTTGTGATATTTTTTTATGTGATGTTAAAGATTTAAATGTTACATATGTAAGTATTAAAGTTTAGACTCCCCTAATGATAACATGCATGCGTCATTGCCTCTCCCGGAAAAGTATACATACTTGGACCAACAAAAATGGTAGGGTAACACCTTCTGATGAAACATTCCCAGAAGCATGTCTGCGTTGGTTCCTCGCGATAAGCTTTCGGATATCAAAAGCCTTCAATTCAAGCATCAAAATTATTCAAATATCAGCAATACATAGTTGAAGTGCCATATTCTTGGATGATAGCTGCGTTTATATACAGTGAAATTAATAGCTGTGAAGCAAATAAGCTTACCTTTGCCTCTAATTCTCTCAAGTAATTTGCTTTTTCTTGTATTCTATTTGTTACATTCATGTGCCTTCGCTATTTGAGAAAATAAAAATAAAAAAATCATTATTTCAATAAATAATACTCATTATGATCATCTGATAACTTGCTATATAAGATTAGAATATGGCAAACCTTCAAATCTTCCAATGTTTTGGTACTTGTATTAGGAAAACCAATCCAATGTATTTCTTTCTTGTCTTTTGCAATAACATTGATAGCTAAGAGAACATTAAATGCATCATACACCCTCCGACGAATATTTTTTTCGTCAAACTAAACAAGTGTGAAAATTTATAAATTGTTAGTGTCTGCATTTCAAATCTTATCTGATTCAAACAAATGAGAATGAACATCAAAAGATTTATTAAATAAAGTTTCCCAATGGATAAAAAAAAATGTTTGAGACAAACTTCAAATTCGCTGGTCTTGTTCAATGTAGCCAAATCAGAAATGATTTCATCTGCAACCTGGACAAAAACAGACTAGACTTATTCAATAAATGAAATCATTTTTCAGATGGAACACTACTTAATGGTGTCGAGTTTGATGACAGGAATTAAAGGATGATATTCTGGTCAAATTAACTAAAAACATATCTGACCATGCATTACATATCACCATTCAAAAACAAATATAAAATCTTTCAGCTGTAAAATGATTATATAATGAAACCATTACTTCGCAAGTGCTCTTTTGAAAAACTAATACAAGGGATTTTTACATATCCACTACCAAAAACATTTAATATAACATTTTAACCGCTCAAACTTTAAATATAATATTTTAACCAACCAAAATCTTCATTCAAAACTTCATGAGTTTAGGAGGGTGATTGTAATGAAAAAATTGATTAAAATGTTATATTTAAAGTTTAGGTGTTAAAAAAATATATTAAATGTTTTGGGTGATTGGTATGTAAAAATCTAATATAAAGTACTCAAAATAAAAAAAAAAGGTTCAGGAAAAGACAATTAAATGGCTGTGGGATCACTTTTGTTTTTCATTTTGGTTTACTTTGTTTTGTTTATGTTTTAATTTGAAACAAAACATATCTAACTATTTTACCAAAGTACGATTATTTTAAAAAACAATCAAAAAACCTTAAAAGTTGCTTAGAGTGCTTTCAGATATATGTAAATTTGTTTTTAAAAACAAAATTAAAAAATGAAAAAAATACATTAAACATGTTTTTAAGAAAATAAAATGATCTAAAACCAGCCCTAAGATGTTGAATTTCACTTTTTCCATGCTTCTAAGACCAAATAAAAAAAATCAGGTTGCTGAATAATGCAACAAACAAACAGAAAATTGACATCAAAATAAAACCTTAAATTTACTTCAGATATACCATAAAGATCTCTAGTAAAGACAAAGTAGAAAACAGTATTGAAAGAATACCTCATTGTAGGTTGTTCTTCCCTTCACTTGCACCTTCTGACAAACTAAAACACAATAATATGAGTTTTAACTATTGAGAAAAAATCCAAATTAATTACACAACTTCCTAAAAATTGGGCACAATATCACACCACATTCGTATACTAATTTAGCTCAACCTATCTTACTGAAACGACGTAATCCCCAGCCTATGATTCGTGATACCTTCTTATTTTTATCTGCACTGCTCAAGATAAACAATTGTTGGAACATAAAAATTACAACAATTAATTTAACCAAATTTCAAAAGTCACAAGATGCCTACTTTTCAGCAGCCAGGAAGTTGCCATCTTCTTGAGTGCATGCATTGCTTAACCTCAGAAGACTGCCACAAGGAGGTGGTGTCATTGCTCCACCATTTTCTCCTAATGAGCACATTTGATTCCTTTGGCTAATACCTTCATTAATACCACATCGTAATGCTACCGAAAGGTCATTTTCCATCGCTTCCCAGATTAATTTTGCAGCTCCTGGCTAAGAGATAACCTATTGTCAGAGTCAAATAAAAATGGGGAAATTGAAATAAGTACACATAACTAACACCCAAAGATTAACACTTACATTTATAACACTTCGGCCCTAAAACTTACATATGAAAAAGTGTACTTCACTTTTAAAAAGTTAGTAGTGATGACATTTTTTTATGTAATGCTCAAAATTTGAGTGGCATATATGTGTAAGTAAGAAATTTGGGTGTTAGGTAAATATATAAGATTTGTGTAGTATGTATGTAAATTCCCTATAAAAATTAAAAACTAATTCAAAAGTCCTACCAAAGCAATGAATGCTTCGATTTTTCAAAACTTGATAATGCTGAATATGTGCAGTCAATGGTAAAGTCTTAAAAAAGGGGACAAATCAGTATGCACCTATATAGAAATCACAGATGCAATAATTGAATAGAAAAAAGCACTCAAGCGCTATTTCTGATAAAACAAAGTATTGTATGGCGAATTAAAAAAGAAAACACGAAAAACTATCTCAAAGAATTTTAAAGTGATACTCCCCCCATGACCAGTAGCAACTAAATTGAAAAAGCCAATTATAGAGTTATCAATATTAACATCTAATCAAAATGCATAACCAAATGCCAAAATTAACATCCAAAGTAACTTGATGCACTATCAGTCAACTAAAATAAAAATAAAATTAAAGTGCATCATATAGAAAATAATAAAGCATTTAACTAGTCATATTAACCAAAATTAACATCCAAGGTAACTTGGCGCACCTTTAACAGACCGTAGTCATCCACAACTTCATCCTAACACTTGGGGAATTTTTAGTACTACAAGAAGTGCCAAGACATTCTTCACAAAACTTTTTGAACAATTTCCATCCACGCGGACATTAAGTCTTCACATTTTTTGCTTCATAAACAATAATATTATCCACCCATCTCCTAGGTACAATTACTATAATGCCCGATTTTGGCCAACTAGGTAAAACTCTCAACAATTTTAAAATATACCCAAATTTTTAAATTCCCCTATATCAAAAAAATTATTTTTTATAAAATTCTACATGTTGAATCAATCAATTTGATATATGGCACTATATATGAATTATGAATACATGGGAGATATAAAAATAACTAGATATTGACTTAATTAAACTAATTAAGTCTTTAATCAATTTCCTAATCTCTCAACACTATAGCCGAAAGACCTTCCTTCACGCCTTACAACTGTGAGATAACATGCAGTGGGTTAGGATTAAATGGGATTGTGTTTAAATGTCGTGTGTCCCTCCCTTTTCCTCCTCCCTCATACCTTCTGCACACGGCTATTTTTCAGTTTGCACAAAAAACAGCAGGCGCACAGCCCGCAAGGAGCCGCAAGCGACTGGTAAGAGAGAACTTCATTTTCGCACTAATTGGAACATTATTTTCCTTACATGTAATCCTTTTTCACAATTTGCCACGAGCTAAAAAACTTTGGTTTTCACTATCATTATAGGAAAAGATTAAAAAGTGGTCAAAAACTCTGAACTTTGGTTTGTTGTTTCAGAAGGACAGTAAGCGGGAAGGCAGGGAAGAAAAATGGAAGAAGGGAAGGAAAGAGGGAAGGATGAAAGGAATAGAAGAAAACCTTTAAGGGGTTAATCATGCAGGAAGACCAATTTGAAGTAAGATCAAGAGAATAATTTGGGCTAGGGGTTAAATTAAAATCTAAGCCCGAATTTCATGTAAATCCTAAGGGGCTCTATGATTCCAGGTGGTCTACCGTGGGTGACGAGATTGATGTGAGCATAAGAAAACTCATCATAGTAACTCGGTCGATTCAGATGAAATAATCATGTGCTAAATTAAGAATAATGTCTTTTGGTAAAATTTCTATGTAATTTCTTTTAACATATGATTGTCCTTAGAATTTATGCATAATGTTGAATATCAGCTTGAACTAACACCAATGATGTTTATGATATTGCTATTTCATTGATCTAATAAGCATATATATGAAGTTATTGTTTGCAAGTTTTTATGCACGTGATACATGAATTGCATATAATAAATAATTTTTATATGATATGTTTAAAAAAATATCACAAGTGTTGTGATAGGTAGACTATTACATGAATGCTTGCAAACACAAATGATAGAGAACAATGAGATTTATGACTCTTAATATTCAGGCAGGAATGTCAAAAAAGAATTGTTGGTATCAAGGGCCCGACTCTTGATATTTAAGCAGAGACGTAACACAAGAACTGTTGGTATTATGGAATTATTGATAACTACTAGTTGAGAGATGTCCAACATTTATCAATAATTATTCTAGCCAACGAGACGACCCAATTTTATTAAATGAAATGAATAAAGCTAAAACCTATACATTTACAATTGACATTCCTAAAATGATATGAATTGATTTTGGATTTGGTATGATATACCATGATTTCACATGGATGAATGAGACACATTTGTGGTAGTTGCTATTATTTACTATGGTAGATGTTATTTTAAATTCAGTATGGATATACTATAATTTCACATGGATGAACGAGACGTGTTTGCGGTGGTTGCTATTAATTACTACGTTTACTACCATTTAATATCTCAATGACTTAAGCATTTTAAATTATGAACTGTTGGTATGCATCTGACCTACATTTTTATATCCATTTGTTTTCTTTTCCTTCTAAAAATCTTATTTTAGCCTGAGTTATTTCCCTGAGCTTATAGCTCAATCCTTTATGTTGTTGCTTTTCAGGAAAAGATAAAAATCACTAGGTTAATAGTCAAGTGTAATTTTTGTGCAACTATTGGATTGTACAGTTTTGGGATGTACACACTTTTGGGTACGTTTTTTATTATGTTGGACTTTTAGCAGCTTTGTATACGCTTTTGGTAATATTATAATGCACGCTTCCAAATATATGAAAATGTGAATGAAATATGAATTGAAATGATTCATGAAAGCTTGCGACGATTGAATTTAACACATTCATTACCCACAGGGTCCTCATGGTACAGTCATAACGAGTGTTGGTCATAATTTTATCTGATTGAGTCGTCTTTCTCTGTTGCACCATGATTGACCCTAAAAAGAAGGGGGTTATACAAACTAACAAAAGTTAGTCCAACCATAAATTGAAAACAATTATTCCTTAATTTATCCTTCCAGTGTTACTATATATCCATCTTGAAAACCATATTTCCACTACGATCAACTGCACTATCAACAAACTTTTTAATGCTAATTTTTTATATCAATATATCCTAGTCTAATTAGAATTATATTACATTTTATTAAAAGTCTCCATAATATATCATTTTATCACATAATACACCTGTGGCAATTCTCTATTCTAACCACCAAACCTTAACTTTAAAAGTTATTTATACATACCCTCTATCTTTTGAAAGCTAAATCTTCTAACATACCTAAATATATCACAAATAGGTATTAGTTATGCCGGCTTCCAAAGACAATTTAGTCTTTTATTATTTATTATTTGTTGGTATAAATAGGGCTTAATAGTTTAGAAGTATGTTATGCACGAAATTATTGTAATGAGTTTAGGTTTAAAATTAGAGAGAGATTTCTGCCACTCGAACTATATAATTTAGGATTATTATATGTGCTTATTTTGATGTATTTAATTTGTATTGTTAGTGTTACTGAAGAAAAATAAATAATTTTCTATAATTTCTACGAAATTTCCTATCACATTGGTATCAAAGTTATCGATTTCTGAGAAACAAAGCAAGGGATCGCAACATACGCTCATTGTCGCGTTGTGACCACCAAACCTTAACTTTAAGTTATTTATACATATCCTCTACCTTTTGAAAGTTAATCTAACATATTTAAAAATATCACACAAAGGTATAGGTTAAGCCGAAACCCAAGAGCAATTTACTCTTTTACTATTTATTATTGGTTGGTATAAATAGGGCTTAACAGTTTATGATAATGTTATTCATGAGATTATTGTTGTGAGTCTTAGAGTTAGGACTTGGGTGAGATTTCTTACCTCTCAAACTTGTATAATTTAGGGGAGATCGCTTACCTCTTGAATTGTAGGTTCTTAGCTTTATGTATTCCAATTGCATTGTTGGTATTACTGAAAAAAATAATTTACTTTGACCTAATTTGTGTAGAGTTTTCTTATCACATAGGTATCATAATTGTCGATTTCTAGGAAACAAAGGAAGGGATCACGTCATTATGAGTTTCTGTTAAGTAGAAATTATTGTTAGATAAGGACGTCGCGTGGTAGCCATATGACCTGATCTAACAATAGTTTTTTCACCTTGAGAATAATCTGTCTTTTTTTAAGGGAGTAATATTACGCTAGTGCCTAAGGTCAATTTAGTCTTATTATTTATTATTGTTTAGTATAAGTATGATTTAATAGTTTAGGGTTAGATTATCATGTAATTTGGTCTTGACTCTTACGGTTAGGGTTTGAGAGAGATTTGCTACCTCTCGAATTATAGGGATATACGAGAGATCGCCTACCTCTCAAATTTTAGGTGCTTATCTTTATGTATTCCAATTATGTTTTTGGTGTTATTGAAGGAAATAATTTACTTTGCTCTCATTTTTGCGGAGTTCCCTAACATAATCATTTATCATCCCATATATCAGCAACAAAAAAAAAAATTGTGCAGATAAAATATTCCATAATGACACCTCCTTGTGATATGCAACTTTAGATTAAAATAAGAAGCCATAACTATAAGAAAATGTTAGATAGTAGAGGCATTAACATTTGCATGCCTCAACATCAATTCAAACACAAGTTACTAGAGAAGACACATCATGATGCATTTTGGTTTTGAGATCGCAAATTCAGGTTCCAATAAGAGACCAATCTCATGTTTTATAAGAATAAATGAGTAAAAAGAGAGGTATAGAAGACCAAAAGTCTATAGGAAAAAACTCATTCGTTTTCACTTATCTAAACTTTTAAAGAACAATTAGCAAATGACAACTTAGAGAACAGGGAAAATTTTGGGAAATATACATATATAACACACAATTCTTATGTATTTATATATCAAAACCTAAAGCTCGATATTTACATTATAACACTTTGTTATTTTAAAACCTATGCATGAAAAGATGTATTTCGCTTTTAACAAACTAATAATAGTGACATTTTTTATGTAATGTTGAGGATTTGAGTGGTATGCATGTAAATATCAAACTTTAGGTATTAGATATGTACATGTATATGAATTGTATAATAAGCATGTAAATGACAAATAACCCTTGCAACTAAAGGCATTTGAACTTCATCCGTCAAGCTATCTCATATTAACAGAGAACATAACTATATGAAAAAATACTTAGTCTAAAAATCAAATATGTCAAATTGAGGCACTGAGGACACTTGGTAATTTGTGTTTGTGCTCATGAATACATTTCAAACGGCACAATTTGACCAAAATGCTCAAGGAAAATTGATAAAAATAAGAAATAGTGTAATTTCTCAGTATTATTGTTCTTAGCTAGCAAAAACTGTTAAAGAAAAACAACACTTATCGTTGTCAAGTAATCGATCAACAACCAAAAGGAACAAAAGATTTAAATGGAAAATCCTGTAAACAGAAAAAAAAACCAAGGGATAGCCAGAGCAAAAATTTCACTAACAAATGAAGAGGGCCAACCCTAAACGTCGAATATAAAACATCTTTGTTTCCTGCTTAATATCTCACACAGCTCTCAACTCATGACATGCAATGGGCATTTATAGAGTTACAAAAGATTATATTTGATATCAAATATACTGAACAAAAAACATATTTAAAATTAAATAAATTAAGCAAGAAATATATTTGATAAGAAATTTCAAGATATTATTTTACAAATCTTCACTTTGTATTAAATTTACGTCACAAGTGATTCTCTAAATTTCATTCCCCTCTAAAGCCCCTTGAGCTCATACACATTGAACATCGATCAAGTTCAAGCAATGCTAAACTTGATAGTTGGAAAATGTTTATCATGTCAGCAGAATTCTCCAAAGTGCTACTTTTCTTTACTATAACATTACTTGGAGTGATGATAGCTCAAATAAATTGAAATATGATGTCAATATGTTTGGTTCACTCATGATGCATTTGGTCTTTTGTTAGATGAATAGCACTTTGATTATCACAAAATATAATCATCTTCGTAGACGCCTAATTGATCATATAGATTTCTCTTCCAGCTCGCAATGCAGATAGATGACATTCACATCTAATTGCTCAAGTTCCAAATCACAAATAGAAACGATCCTAAGTAGCATATGAATAGTTGTGCGCTTCACAGGTAGAGAAGACACATCAGTGAACTCAACACCTGAACTGAATCCTTTTGCCACTAACTGACTTTATACATTAGTTCTTCATCTTCGAAAGCATCATCTTTTTTCTTATATAATAAATTTCATTGAACGACTTTTATTCCCTTTCAAGTTGTGTGAGTTCCCAAATTTGGTTTTTATATAATGACTCCATCTCCTCTTCCATAGCCATGAGCCACTTTATAGAGTCCAAATTAAAGACTGCAACAAACAATGCCTGTACGACCAGAACTGTCTCACTATACTGCCTAGGTGGGCAAATCACCCTTCCCTCTATATCCCTGGCCAAGGAATAAGAATGTGCAATAGTAGAAATCTCTTCATCAATACTAGTCTGTTGAGATAAAGCTTAGAAATAGAGCGCTCAACCTCAATCTAAGTGCTCTTTGATATTGCTGACTCATCTCAATCAAGGCTAAATTGTGGAGATGTCACTTGACATAGTAGAAACAATTCACCAAACACATCTCTACTGATAAAGATTATGGAATCTTTAAGTCTCCGTAGTCTATAAAACTTTATATCATTTTTGTATGTCATATCTCAAGAACATACACTTCTTTGACGAGCAGTCTAATTTTCAATCCCTAATATACCTATAAGTCAGACAATCGAAATTTTCCGAGTTAAAATAATCAACAGGACTACCAAACTTCTTCTCGACACCTCAAATAGATAACAACATGAGGAGATCAGTTCATCAAATAGCATGCAGTAGAGACAGCATCAAACCAAAAATCCTTATCCAAGCTGACTGGAAAAAACAAGCAACAAGCTCATTCCAAAACAGCATCAAACCAAAAATAATATTCTTTCTAAAATAAAAAAAATATGGAGAGAAAGAACAAAACCTCAAAGGACAGAGAATTAAAAATAGAAAAGGTTAGTCCGTCCTGTCTCCTCCAAAAACAGACTCTACGAAATAAATGATGTTAGGAAAAAGACAATGATGTGCTCATAGTAGCGTGGCTGAGTGGTTCAGAGGTTTCTTTAATTTATTGTGATTTCACATAACCAAAATAAAAGAAGAAGAATGAGAACCACCTGAAACTTGAGCGATGGTGTGTCAATGGTCCGAGGAGAAGAAGAATGCAGCCGATTGTTACAATCAGACGCCCCAAACCGCAAGCTTGCGGATGCATCAACGAAAGCAAGAGTTGTGCTTTAGCGACGGAGCACGGCGTGGCGGCCTCAACCAGAGGGGAAATGAGGACGGAGAAGGTGGATTAAGAGAAGGTTATAGCCAGGATTTAGGGTTTTCTTCTCCAACCAGATGAAGAGGGGAGTTGGAGGAAGCCGAAGGAGGAAAGCGGAGACGGATACTGACAAAATATGCATTGCTGCAGTGTTCTGCCAATAATAAAAACAGTATCCAGAGAATAATAAAAAACGTCCCGCCAAGATGATAATAACAATATATTTCATTTTTATTTTTATTTTTTTTGGGAACCAGATTTTTTTTTTAGTTAATTAGATTTATTTTGATAATTATATATAAATTTACATTTAAAATTATATTTAACACCTTTGTTATTCAGGATTGTATTATTTATTTCAAAAATTTACACACATAGTCCTCAATTCTTATGCATTTGTGATAATTATATATAAATTTACAATTAAAATTATATTTAACACCTTTGTTATTTAGGATTGTATTATTTATTTCAGAAATTTACACACATAGTCCTCAATTCTTATGCATTTTCTTGTCCCACTTCTAAATTTTACACTCTAATGTTATGCTCCGCTATATTCAAGAAGTTGGCAAAGGCAACCATGGGGCGGAAGATTCTAGAGAAGACTGGAATGTAGGGAGTCATCAAGGGGGTTCTAGAAGATTCCACCCAATTTTAGAGAAAATAAGAAAGAAAGACTCCAAAGAGAAATTAAGAATAACCTAGAATGTTCAAGAGCTATGTGTGTAATAAGAGAGGATTGTAGAACTCTCCAGAAACTAGAATAATTTAATATATTTTAGAATAATTCATTAGGCTTGGAGGGGGCTATAAATAGGAGCTCCTCCCCTCATTTGTAAGGACCCAAGCATTGAATCAAAGTTTTAAAGTATTCAAGTGTGGAGTGTTCATTTCTCTCTACTCTTCTTCTTACGAGTATTTTGTGTTCCAGTGCTATGAAGGTTAGGCTGATTTAGTGCTAAGAAAGAGCGTTAAAGCCGCACAGGTAACTTGAGGAAAGTTAGTCTGTGACAGTTGGTATCAGAGCCTTGGTGCGAAGGAATGACAAAAAGCATCAAAGAGCACGTGATGAAGTCGGAAGCCACTATTGTGGAGTCATCTCAAGGGCAAGGTCGTAAGGAGCAAAGAGATCCTGTTGCACCCAAGCTGAATGGGAAGTCCAAGGAGATCATGCATGGTTTTGATTCGCGCCTTGCTCGGATAGAGGGGACAATGAATGGTATGGAGGGTCAAGTAGAGTATCTTGGTCAAAGGGTTGATGGACTCGAGGAGGAGGACGTCACAATCCATTCAATGATCAAATGTATGATGCTCTAACTTGAGGAGACCTTAATGGACCATATAACTAAGTTACAGTAGGATTTGTTAGGGGAGCTCCAAGAAGTGCGAAGAGCCTATGAGGAGGAGATGAGCGACATGCGTGCTAGCTTGGAGGAGATGCATGGAGATATCTAACTGTGCAAGAGGACAATAGCGACATCCACAAGCCATCCCGCTTTCCAAGCCAAGAGGATTGAAGTTCCAAAACATATATGTTTTGGAGGGTTTCACAATGCGAAGGAAGTAGATAACTTCTTATGGGGACTAGAGCAATACTTTGGAGCCATGAGGATTGTCGATGAAGATGCAAAAATATAATTTACCTCTCTTTATCTCTCAGACATCGCTATGCTTTGGTGGAGAAGAAGAAAAAGAGATGTAGAGAAAGATTTGGTTTGTGCTCCATGTTCACTTTCAATTACTTCAAGAGATCTAAAGAGGCAATTTTAAGTTGAGAATGTTGAGGATGAGGCTCAAGCCCGGCTGCGTAGCTTAAGCAAGTGGGTTTGATTCGAGAAAATATCAAGGAGTTTACAAGCTTGGTTCTTGAAATCCCAGATATGTCAGACAATGATGCTCTCTTCAACTTCATGAATAAGCTTCAACACTGGGCAAAGACTGAGTTTAGGAGGCAAGGAGTGCAAGATCTTGCCACTGTCATCGCAGTTGATGAAAGCTTAGTTGATTATTCAATGGAGTCTAGAAAGTCTGAAGATAAGAAGAGTTATGATGTCAAAGGTTGGGATGACAAGGGCAAAAACAAGGAAGAGAAACGTCGTGAATCAACTCCAACAAAGGCAAGGGACAAGGGGAAGGCCAACAACAAGTCATATCAAAACCGGTGCTTTCTTTGTGAAGGACCTCATTGGGCAAGGGATTGCCCTCAGAAGAAGGCCCTCAACTCTCTTCCTACAAGCCAAAAGGAAGAAGAAGAAGAGAGTGATAAGGAAAATAACATGGATGCACATGTGGGATCTCTTCAACTACTAAACGGGATGCAAGCTCCGACAAGGGGTTGCTCTTTGTGGAGATGGCAATAGGGGGAAGACAACCAGGGCAATGGTGGATATGGGTGCTTCGCACAACTTCATCTCTAGCGAGGAAGCAGAGAGGTTGGGGTTGCAGATGACTAAAGGAGGGGGCTCCATTAAAGTTGTCAACTCAGCAGGGATGTCAATCGACGGAGTGGCTAAGGGAGTCAAGACCAACATTAGGGCATGGTCAGGTACTCTAGATTTCTCTGTCATTCCTTTGGATGATTACAAAGTTGTCATGAGAATGAACTTCTTAGAGCAAGCAAGAGCATTTTCAATGTCATTTGCCAGTAGCCTATGCATCACGGAAGAGAGTCAAGACTGCTCAGTACCAATAATGAGGTTAAGCACGCAAGGATCCAAAACAATATCGGCAATCCAGCTCAAGGATGACATTAACCAGGACAAGGGGGACAACTTGGCTATCTTTCAAGATACCAATGAAGGACAAAATACCCAAGGAGATTGGATGCCAAGAAAAGTGGTGGAGGTTCCACCAAGAAAGAAGAAAGATGGTTCAACAAGGTTTGAGGCAAAGACCAAGCCGCTAGCCAGGAAGACTTGTTGTATGATATCCCTCTCCCATAACACCAAGGAGAAACCAAAGTTTGCCAAGACTGGGGGCGAATCAAGAAGGAATTTTCAAAGGTGCAGGGGAAGCCGCAAGGAGGGCATTGCGAGTTTAAGTGGGGGAGAGTGTCACGCTCCGCTATATTCAAGAAGTTGGCAAGACAAGCATGGGTAGGAAGATTCTAGAAAGTGCTGGAATGTTGGGAGCCATCAATGGGGTTCTAAAAGATTCCACCCAATTCTAGAGAAAATAAGAAGAGAGGCTCCAAGGAGAAATTAAGAATAACCTAGAATGTTCTAGGGATATGTGTGTAATAAGAGAGGAATGTAGAACTCTCTAGAAACTATAATAAATTAATGTATTATAGAATATTCCATTAGGTTTGGATGTGGCTATAAATAGGAGCCCCTCCCCTCATTTATAAGGACCCAAGCATTGAATCAAAACTTTCAAGTATTCAAGTGTAAAGTGTTCATTTCTCTCTACTCTTATTCTTAAGAGTGCTTGGTGCTCACAAGTCCAAGCATTGTAAAGATTAGGCTGATTTAGTGCTAAAGGAGAGCGCAAAAGCCGCACGTGTGACTTGGGGAAAGTTAGTCCGTGACACTAAGCACCCTATTCTATGTATGAAAATGTGGATTTCACTATTTCCATCTTCTGTACATAGGAAAAGATGTTTCAAGTATAAAAATTAAAATTTGGGCGTGAGATAAGTAAATGCCTAAGAATTGGGTGTTATGTATGTAAATTCCCCTATTGAATATTAGATATTGCATAACTTGGTAATTGTATTATATTAGTTTGTTGTGAGATATGTACTTCCTGGCATAGAAATGAGACAAAAAAGAACACAAGCAAACACAGATCGTTTACGTGGTTCGATCTAACTGGATCTACGTCCATGGGAGGGAATCAATCAATTAGTTCACTAAGGCAAAAGAAAGGGAGAATACATAGCTTATGCATAGAGATGAGCCCTCATCTTCCTACTATGGTCTCCCTCCCTCTCAAGCCTCTCAAGCGATAGGTTGATACAAGGCCTCAAGATGCTCTCCTCCTCTCTAGCTCTCTAGTTATTCTCTCCTCCTTTGTGGTAGCTCAAGATATCTTCTCCCTTTTCTCTCCTAAGCCCCTCACACCCTGTAGGTGAGCGGTAGGTGAGCGGTAGACGAACGGTAGGTAAACGGTAGGTGAGATGTGGTAGGTGAGCGGTACCACATTACAAAAATGCCCTTTTACCTTAGTTCAATAATTGAGGATCAAAATAACAATTCTCCACCTTGACCCTCAATTGAGAAGCTTCAAAGTAAAGATTCCCTCCACATGGCCCCTAAGGAGCCCTCAGCCCTTGCTTGTGTTTGCTAAGTCCAAACAGTGCATGAACTTAACAATCACAGTTCTTCCGATAAGAGAGTACAACCCTTTTTTCCTGACTCCTTGTATGACAACACGAGGGCCTTTGGTTACTTTGATGCAGCCATTCTCTGCCTTGAACGAGCATCCGCTTGACTCCAGCGTACCTATAGAAATCAAATTTCTTTTGAGCTCTGGTACGTACCTGACATTTTTCAGTACTCGTTCAACTCCATCAAACGTCCTTATCCTGATTGATCCACTTCCAACAACCCTGTGAGCTTTATTGTATCCCAGTAGAACGAACCCATCATTTTCCTGTTTCAATGTCTCGAACACGTCTCTGTGAGGGCACCTGTGGAAAGAACACCCTGAGTCGAGGATCCACTCCTTACTGTATTCAGATTCTGTGATCACCAGGACCTCAGCAGAATCGTAGTCATCAGAGGCTATGCTTGCTTCTCCTGATTCTTCTGACTCTTCTTGGTACTTATTCTTCATGTCTGGGCAGTTCCTCTTGAAATGACCCTCCTTGTGACAATGATAGCACTTGAAAGATCCCCTTGATGACCAATTTCCGCCATCCTTGCTTGACCTTGATCTGTACTGACCATTTCTTGTATCTTTCCTGTCTGATCTTCCTCTGACAATAAGACTGCCTCCGCTGACTTCCTTGTCCCTGTCATGCTTCCTCTGAAGTTCTTTGGCTCTAATAAGAGATTGAACCTCATCCAGAGTAATAGTCTGCACCCTTCCATAGAGCATCACATCCTTGAAATTCTCGTAGCTCTTGGGAATAGAGTTTAACAACAGTAGTGCCTTGTCCTCGTCGTCCAACTTGACGTCGATGTTCTCGAGATCGTCGATGATCTTGTTGACCTCGTTGATCTGCTCTGATACGGATTTGTCTTCATGCATTTTGAAGGAGTATAGTTTGTCAGGTAGAGTACCTCGAGTTTGGCCCAAAGTGCTTGAGCCGTTGTCTCCCTCGACACCTCCCTCAGAACTTTGTCGCCCAAGCTCAGGATTATCAAACTGTGAGCCTTGTCCAGTATGCCGATCTTCTCCTTCTCGATCTTGTCGGCTAGCAATGTCGCCGACCCTTGCAAGGCTTCTGCAACACTCTGCTGAACCAATAGAGTTCTCATCTTTACTCTCCATAGGCCGAAGTCGTTCTTCCTGTTAAATTTTTCAATGTCGAATTTGACGGAACTCATTATCGTAGCTAGAATTTCTTCCAATGAATTCTACCTACTGCCTTTCCAAGAACTAGGCTACAATCACCAAAATGTTGTATTGCTCCCCGTGAACTCCACTGCCTTTGCCAACCGAACGGAGAGCTCTGTTCCCTTCTGGCAGAGAACAAACTTGTTCACCGAAGAAAACTTCTTGTTATGTGCTCGTGCCTCCTTCCCGCAGGCACTCCTTTGCGTCCAGCGGAACAAATCAGGAATTCCTCCTCTGCCTCTCGCACGAGAATAACTGCCTCTCCAGAGCCGTCGCGCCACGCGGAACTGCTCAGGTCCTCCTGCTTCGCGAACTCCCGAACAGGGAACTCCCTGAACCCTTCTCTGCGCGATCTCCACCTCTTCCCTCTGGTCGAGCTGCTCGCAAGACCGAAATCCTCTGATCCGAAATCTTCTGCTGGCAGCCCTGTGGCGAATTTTCGGTCCTCGCTCGCAGATTGTTTCTCCTCCGTCTCACCAAACCGCACAACCTGCGGTGCGAATCCAGTCGATCAAAGCTTCCACTGCTCACCGAATCTGTCGCGATTCGGCTGCGTGAATGTCGAACTCCTCTTCTTCGTCGCTGGCCGGGAATACCTTTACGCAGACACCTCTAGCCAAGAAGTATGGATCTTCCCATAGACGACGCCAATTGTTGTGAGATATGTACTTCCTGACATAGAAATGAGACGAAAAAGAACACAAGCAAACACAGATCGTTTACGTGATTCGATCCAACTGGATCTACGTCCACGGGAGGGAATCAATCAAATAGTTCACTAAGGCAAAAGAAATGGAGAATACGTATCTTATACATAGAAATGAGCCCTCATCTTCCTTCTATGGCCTCCCTCTCAAGCGACAGCTTGATACAAGGCCTCAAGATGCTCTCCTCCTCTCTAGCTCTCTAGTTATTCTCTCCTCCTTTGTGGTAGCTTAAGATCTCTTCCTTTGCTCTCTTAAGTCTCACACCCTCTCTATTTATAGAAGCAAAATAGTGGTAAGTGGGAGGTAGGTGAGTGGTAGGTGAGCGGTAGGTGAACGGTAGGTGAGGTGTGGTAGGTGAGCGGTACCACATTACAAAAATGCCCTTTTACCTTAGTTCAATAATTTGGGGTCAAAATAACATAGTTAAAGTTTCAAGAATAAGATAAAGTATAATTTTTAAAGATAAAAAAAGATTAATAATATGGTGTAAAATCAACTTAAGAGTTTAGTCCCATAACCAACATATAATGAAATAATGTTTAATTTAAACTTATTATGGTATAAATTTCTTAAACATAAATATCATTTTCATTAAATAGGTCAAATAGATTATATTTCAAATTTCAGAGAATAAATAAAACCACTCAAATGAAACTCATATAACATAACAATAAATATCATGTGATAGGGTAAATAAATGGCCATGCAAAAATTGCAATGAAAATTTATTTCACAAAAACATTTCTTTTTAAAATCATGCATGCAATTTGGAATTTTGGACCTTTCTCTTAGCTGCCAAATTCCTTTTTTTCTTTTTTCTTTTTTTTTTAAATTTCCTTTTATATATAGTCACACCAAAAGTATTGATATCTTTATTTTGTTTGTTAAAACAAAATATAGATTTTTAAAATATCTTCCTACGAAATAATAATAATAATAATAATAATAAAGATCAGTGCATGATAGAGGCTTATGACCCAATCATTGTGTAATAGCTTATATAATTGAAATTGGCTAATGAGTCTCGAGGGGTGAAAGCAACATTGCTTCTTAAAGCGGACGAAAAATTAGTAAATTGAATAACAACAACAACAACAACAACAAAGCCTTAATCCCACTACGTGGGGTCGGCTACATGAATCCTTTTTCTTCATTGCGTCCTATTTAGTGTCATATTTTCATTTAGTTCTAGTAAATTAAGATCATTTTTAATACAATAAGCCCAAGTCTTCCTAGGTCTACCTCTGCCTTTCTTAACACAAGTCGAATTTAAAACATCTACTCTCCTAATCGGATCATCTAATGGTCGACGTTTAATATGACCAAACCATCTAAGATGACTTTCTCTAATTTTGTCTGTCACAGGAGCTACACCAACCCTATCACGAATATATTCATTCCGCATTTTGTCTCTAAGTGTAAAGCCACTCATCCACCTAATCATTCTCATCTCGGCAACACTTAACTTATTATTATGCTTCTCTTTTAAAGGCCAACATTCAGCGCCATAGAGCATTGCAGGTCTCACCACCGTCTTATAAAATTTTCCTTTCAGTCTTAGCGGTACTTTTCTATCACACAAAAGGCCCGAAGCATTCCTCCACTTCAACCAACCAACCTGAATTCTACTATTAACATCCCCATCTATATTAATGGTATAGATGGGGAATAAAGGAAAAGAGATAAAAATAATATTTAAATTTTCTATTTATATAGACAATTTAGACATTTCAGAGGAGTAATTGCCCCCACTGGACTTAAGTCATGATCGTACCCAGTTGAAGGAGAGTGAAGAATGAAGGAAAAGAGATAAAAAGGGAACTTTGATTCGAACACAAAGTTTATTTCAAACACAGATAACTTCAAACGAACCAACGAAAAAAATCTTGATTCCTCGTTAAACCTACTAATTTGAGGGTATCATTTGAGCTTAGAATCAAGAATCATTTAATTTTGAGACCCGACTCAAATTATCTCGTAAATCAAGACTAGATCCTAAAGTTCAAACTTAACTCATATTAAACGTGAATGCATGTTATGCATTATGTTAAATGAGTAATGTATTTAGTTTGGGTTAGTCGAACTTTAATCAGACTTTCTAAAACATTTAAATTGTTAAACATATTTCTATCGGATCGGAGACTAAACAGTCTACTTAATTTGACTCCCTATTTTTAACCTTATCATTTAAAATTATACTACGTCTCATTCTTGAAACCTTAACTAATACAATACAATTATTAAGTTATACAATATCTAATAAAAAATAAGGGAATTTACATATGTAGCTCCCAATTCTTATGCATTTACTTAACTCACACCCATACATACATACATACATACATACATACATACATACATACATACATACATACATACATACATACATACATACATATATGTATGTAAATGTAGATGTATGTATATGTATGTTTGTATACATGTATGTGTTTATATGTAGATATATATGTATGTATTTATATATAGACGTAAGTAGATGCATGTATATGTTTGTAAATGTATATATACGTATTTGGATTCATGTATTAATCTAGCTGTAATTTAACACATTAAAACAACAGCTTTTTTTTGTTTTAATTTTGGAAAGGTGGATGAAAAAAACCAAATATTAGATTGAAGCAAGGTTCAAATTCATAACCTCGTCAACAACCAAAAAATCTTTATCAATTAAATTAAAAAACTGACACCCTTAAACATAATTATTGGTAAAGTTAAGATGAAATGATTTTATAATTAGATATTGCAAGATTAAATAATAAATAAATCAGAATAAATCACATTGAAAAGAAAAAAAAAACATATATATTCATAAAAATAGAATCTTCATTACATCAGGACTCCTGACGTAGAGCTACGTTCGAATTAAAATATTCGGTTGTGTTATGAGAATATTGCAACTACGTTATTTGTAAAAATGATGTGTTATTCAATTATTTTGCAGTGTTATTGGAATATTTCATCACGTTACTTGATTTGGGGCTAAAGTGTTATTAGAATATTCCCTGCATTACTTGATTTGGACTGTGTTATTCCAATAACATAGTAAAAATTGAAATAACATGGAGAATATGTCGAATAACACAACCCTAAATCAAATAACACGGAGAAATATTCTAATAACACCGCAAAATAATAGAATAACACCATATAATACTCGAATAACACATAATGTAGATGAAATATTCTCGTAACACATCGAAATATTCCAATCAGAACGTAGCTCTACGTTAGGAGCCCTGACGTAATATTTTTCCCAATAGTTTAATTAATACTAATTGCATACATAATTGGCAATTGAATGAGTATAAAAATAAGGGAAATCTCTAAATTCATCTGCCTGCATCTGCAACAAAACCCCAACTCATCCTTTCACCAAACTCTCTCTTATCATTAGTTTTTTTTATTTTTTTTAAGAGAGAATGTTACATGAGTAAATAATAAACATTTGAATGATAAGAACATATTTTTCTTACCCTAAAATAATATTAAAACTTATTTATTCCATCAGATTAACTTTATTAAAATTTAAACATGACCACCAACAAATGCAGAAAAATCTCATTTTACATATTCCAAAGAGGTTTATGGAGAACTGAAACTAATCTTAAAATATGAAACACAGGATTATTTCCCCAAAACTGAATCTCTTCACTCTTCTATCAGTTTGAACCAGCAAAATAAGAACATTTGTAATACAGAAAATGTATTAAGACTATGATAAAATTCATCTCTGAAATGGCAGCTATTCTTTTACTGATTTAGGATCTCTACAGAAGCCAACCCAATATATTATAGAACCTTGTTTTAGGTTTTCATTTCCAATCAGAACCTTTCAGCAGTTATGACAATAGGTTTTGGTTCAATGTGCCTTTTGGTCAGAAAAGGACCTCTTTTAACTGCTTCCTGCAACTGAAAATCCAAGAATAATCATACATCCCTTCCTTTAAGCTCTTGCTTTGAAACCCATAAAAAAAGGCTTGGAATGGTGAGGCGAAGTTTCATGAGGACAAGTCTCAAAATTATTGGATTTGTTTAGACATAAATGCAATAAATGCAATAAATGAGTAATTAATCAAAATTTGTATTTATTCATTTCAAAGTAAATCCAATAATTTTGAGATTCATTCTAACTAATTTTTGGTTGGAACATCTTGACGCGAATGTTTTTTTTTCCCCTAAAAGTATTTGTTTGAAAGATAAGTGTATTCACCCCTTTCGACAAATATATCAGGGAAATGGAAACCAAATTAGTATTAAATAGGGGCTAATACAAATATTTATTCAAAAGAAAAATTGATTTGTTGCGATCAATATAGTTCTATAGAACTAGATTACAAGGCCCGTCATGTTTTATCCAAATTGATTCTGTTGAAGTAGCATAAATTCATTTAATTATTTATAATGAATGTCTAGGAAATACAGCAGAAAAGTTATTCATGACTGAGACCAGAACTCCAGTGCATGGCTGAAAACAATTAAAAGGGGCATTTACATACATACCACTCAATTCCTATGTATTTGCATGTCTAACACCTAAACTTTTCTATTTACATTTCTCCCACCCAAATCTTGTATTTTGCATAAAAAAACATTACTATTCTAACCATGAAAAAGTGGAACAGATCTTTCATGCGCATTTAAGGTGACATATATATAAAATTTAAAGTTTAGGTGTTAGATATGTAAATACATATGAATTGGAGTAGCTACATGTAAATCTTCCAACAATTAAATACCACAAAGAAGCAGCTTACCTTTCCTGCTAGTTCAGCAACTTTGGCATCAGCGGCCATATTTGAAGCAGACAGAGCGTAATAGATGGCCGCACAACACTGATGGCGAGCTTCCATACCTGTAAATTAACATCTTCAACAGAAACCTCTAAAGAAAATCAACTTGTAATGCGATATGAAGGCCATGAGCACATGGCACTATATTTTCTTCCACAAACGTTTTTTTGGGTATAGCAATTCCATTTAGGTTTTGAGACAATTGTAACTACAGGACATCTTTAGAACCAAATTATTCAACTATCCTCAAAAACCTTTCAGTATTTATCTTTATAGGATCTGGTTTGTTTTTGTAGGAAGGATTAAAATTATATTATCAGTGTACAGGGACAAATAAAAAAACACGAAAAAATTGTAAAGAAACAGTGGCACTGTATTACTATTTCAAAAAGGAAAGTATCAAAATGATTTGATGATTATTTACACGAGTCATTTTAGTACAAGAGTCTATAAAAATGTCAAATTAGTTCCCATACTCTTTTAATATAGGAAGAAATAGCTCCCTGGGAGAACTATTTTAGCCCCAGTTAAAAAGTTAAGAACTAAATTGACATTTTGATATGATCCAACAAAGAAATTGACACAAATTTCCACAAAAATTAGAGCAAAACAAATATATTTCTCTAATAATCTAAATAACACAACACGAATACAAAGATAAACACCTATAATTCAAGGTAGGCAATCTCTCCCAAATTCTAAAATTCGAGAGGCAGAAATTCTCTCCCAAACCCTAACCCTTAGATTCACAACAATAATCTCATGCATAACCCTAACTCAATGCTATTAAGCCCTATTTATACCCAACAATAATAATAATAATAATAATAATAATAATAATAATAATAATAATAATAATAATAATAATAATAATAGACCAAATTGCCCTTAGGCTAAATAAAAGAAAATTGCATTTAGGATGGCACATAACAATATTCTCATCCCAAAAAGACAACTTGTCTTCAAGGTGGAAATAAGTGACGGCGTTCCTCCTTCACCACAGTCATTTGTTTCTTCATCCCCAACCTCCTCACACACTGTGAGAACCTAAAAATATTTGATCCTTGGAGTGTTAAGGAGACAAATTTCTAATTACACAGAAAATATAACCCCTTGGCTCGCCTCTCCCGAATTTTTGTATCTGCAAGACACTTGAAATTGTCCCCTATACGGAACCCCATATTCTTTTCCTTCGGCACCTCCCCCTAAAATAACATTGTTTGGGTCCTCGGTGTCATAGTCATCAAAGCACTCTTGTGGAATTCTACCATGGTACTGCTTCTGTTGGCCATCTTTATTTGGTTCTTATCCTCCACCATCTGGTCCAACTCCATCGTCTCCCTCAACCCCCGTATGTCATCCTTTATGAAATTCTCTTCCAATCCTGCTTCAGAAATCCCCCCTCCAAGCCATCACAATAATATAACTCGAATCTCTTCTTATATTCAATGATAGTCCTCTCGAGTCAAAGGTATAAAATTAATGTCTCCTTAGATGGCTTAAAAATGTTCTAGCAAGCAATCTCCGTAAGTTTCTCCCAAGATCAGATTAGGAATCTTGCCTACCTCCATTGAACCACACTAGGGTTTTCCTCTCTAAACACAACCTGGTCACTATAAAATACTCCTCCCCATTTAGCCCATTCACAGTGAAATATTACTCTACATAGTACACCCACTCATGTGCATTTTCCCCCCTCGAAAATTGGCATCTTCAACTTCATAACCCTAGCATCTCCACCTCAGCTTTCACTCCATCCGATGCTTCCCCCAAGTATCGAGAGTAAAACACTCTCATTCGATCACAGTCATAGCCCATCCTGGCTTCTTTTCTTCCTTCTTCGTACTCCTACATCTCTTGCATGACCCCTTCTCCATATTTTGGACCAACCGCCTCCATCTGAAATCTCTAATTCACCACCATCAGTCCCTAGAGGCAAAATCATGATAGTAGATGCTTTCCTCCTTATGTTTCTCATGTTCAATATCTTTCCCTTTCAATCTGATAACGGAATCTCCAGTCAACCTTTAGTTAGGGTTTGCATCTTATATTGCATCTTCATAAGCTTCCTTGTCATCTACTCCAAGCTCCTGAATTGATTTTCCATGGAAGAAAACCTTCCTATGATGCATCCCACCTATTTCTCACATAGGCAACAACTATTTCTCACGCCGACATCGATTCCTTGTTGATCTCCAAAAAAATCAATGCTCTGATACCAATTTAATATGGTCCGACAAAGAAATCGGTACAAATTTTAATAAAAATTAGGGCGAAATAAATATTTTCTTTAATAATCCAAATAACTTGGCATGAATACAAATACAAAAACTTAACAATTCGAGAGGTAGGCGATCTCTCCCAAATCCTACAATTTGAGAGGTAGACTATCTCTCCCAAATCCTACAATTCAATATGTAGGAATTATCTCCCATAGCCTATCTCTAAGGCTCACAATAATAATCTTATGCATAACCCTAGCCCTATTTAAATCCAACAACAATAACAATAAAAGACTAATTTGCCCTTACGCTAATAAAAGACACCCTTAGGCTAGTGTGTGACATACTTTTATAAATTGAGACTGAAATAAACCCTATAGATGACCATTTTGACACTTTTCTATTATTTCAAATATATCAAATGTGCATCTAAGCTTTTTAGCACAGAGAAGCAATTATATCTTCCATGTTCATGATTTTCTCTCTCCTATTTGCCACAAGCACACAACGAATCAGAAAAAAAAACACACATGCATATAAACAAATAATATCTGCATTTGTAGAGAAGAAACGCAGGCGGTAAATATATAATATGAAAGAAACAAACCCATCTTTGCGTCCTCAATATCTGCATCCATCACAATAGATGTAATCTCCAGCCTGGAGCAAATCTCCATTAAGCACCATGACCGAGCAACAAGGGCGGATATCAATCGGTAAGCCTGTAGATTTTACCACCCCCATCAAGATAAAAAATTAAATAAAATGAAGAACTTAAACATAACATAGGAAAAAATAGCTATAACTCATGTTTTTTCCATTCATGAAGATATTCAAATGCATCTATATATTGCTCTTAAACAAGCTTTTGCCAAATACTAAGATGACAATATATTACTCCATCATAGCAGTATTAAGGAAAACTATAAATAAATATAAAAAAACCTCTCTTATGGAGACTAAAAAGAAAATTTTATAAAATTATAGTTACACCCATTATGCTGCAAGGGTCTAAATATTGGGCCATAAAGAAGTCATTGACACCCAAGTTAGGATGGCATATCAGAGAGAAGGTGAAGTTAACATAGAAGAAAAGGTAATAGAAGTCAATGCCGTTGTCCACCACCGCCGCCCGCCAACTTTTGCCCAAGTAAATACATTGTTTTCAATTTACTTCAAACCAAATAAATAAATATCAAATCCATTTATTTTACATTGAACCAAACAATTCATAAGTGTTTCAAATACATAGTAATTATAGTATTCCGCAAACCTTTAACATTGCATTCACTTTTAGCAAATGAAACGGCCCCTTAATAAAGGTTTTTAACTTTTGTTGTGCTCAACAAAAACACTAGCATTAGATATGGATTGACATGATGAATGTTGACTCATGTTAATTGGGGTTGTTTTTAATTGTCTAAATCTGACAAGTAAAAAGTAACAGAAATTTTTATAAAATAAAATAATACAAATACTTACTGCTAATCGCATTTCAGGTTCTTGTTGCAGCACAGAGAGGAATAAACCCTGTAGGGAGATTGGTAAATAAATACAGACTAAAATTGAAAAGCCATAAGGATTTCATATAGCTAATCAAGCAGCATTCACAATCAAACAGTAAAAAAGCTAGTAGCAACACATAAGTAATAAACCAGCTAATTGTTAGTATTTTGTCCAGATTAAACACAATAAATTATGAAGAGCAAAATCCAGAACAAGGAACTAACAGATGGTGTTAGCTTCGAACTATTTGTAGCTGCTTCATAAATCAAGCGCTTAAGGCATTCTTCTGCACTGTCATTTAGTAGTAAACTCTTGTCAGATCTGTCTGCTCCAGCTATGCTTCCAAGAGCATGTAAAGAAGCCTGTAATAATAGTTCAGTTGTAATAATAGAAAGGCATGAGAAGGATCAAAACAGATGTAAAAAGTTAATCAGTAATTGAAATCTCAGTAATTGAAGTCAAATCAAATGAATGAATATACATATATAAAAGATTCACGGGTTTTGATAATATTGCGTTTGAAAAAAAGCTAGCTTCTTTTGCTAATTTCACCATAATAATTCAATTGTCCAAGTTAGACAGCCAAACTGCTGGCCCAAATGGCGGGTTTCTTATGAAACCGGAGTTAAAATATTAACTGGAAAAGTCAATCAGCAGTACAACGACACACTGAAAAGGAAATAACAACAACGGACACAACACTCCCTCAACTAGAGCTGTAAGACAAAGTGAAGGCGGGCGGTTATGCAGAATGGAAAGGCCATTGTTTGCTGCTTTTGGAGGGCAGCAGGATAGAAGCGGGGACTGCAGTGGAGTGTTGGCAAGCATCGATGATGGGAGGAGATGAGATGCTGTAGGTTGGAAGACGGAGCTGCCAGGGAAGTGGTAGGTTGCTGTTGTGACGGGAAGAAGGAGAAAGGGTGGCCTGCTGCAGGTGTGGGAAGGGGGAACAGCAGGAAACGATTGAACAAACAGCGTAAGTGTACTCAGCAGAACAATGACACACTGAAAAGGAAATAACAATAATGGACACAACGCTCCCTTAACTAGGGTTGTAAGTCAAAGGTGAAAGAGGGCGGTTATGCAGGATGGAAATACGATGGTTTGCTGCTTTTGGAGGGCAGCAGGATAGAAGGAAGGACTGCGGTGGAGTGGTGGCAAGCAGCAATGATGTGAGGGGATGAGAAGCTGCAGGTTGGAAGACGAGCTGTCAGGGAAGTGGTAGGTTGGCGTTGTGATGGGAAGGAGGAGAAAGGGTGGCCTGCTGCAAGTGTGGGAAGGAGGAATAGCAGGAAACGACTTAACAAACAGCGTGAGGTGGAAGGGTGGACAACCATGTGGTAGCAGTAGAGGCTGGTAAGGATTGCTGTAATGATTGGGAAGGGCGGTGTGGAGGGTTGGTGACTGCAGAAATAGTAAAAGTGCTGAACTGGCTGCAACGAGGAGAGGGGATGGCGGCCTTCGGAAGAGGTGGTTGTCCTGGGCGGCTGCAGAGAGAAAAGGGGGCTGAGTCAGCGAAGGAATGGATGAGGGGGCAAGGAGAGTCAAAGATAATCACCACTTTAGAGCCAGTTACAACTGGAAGACCTGATCGCCTTTGGATACAATGCTAAAATGGAGAAACTGGATGCTGACAGTTATGCTGAAAGAGAATTGAATAAAAAATTACCAAAAATATTAAAACAACATATAAATAATACTAGATAATTGGGGGGAGGAAGTGCAATAGCGGGGGTCCAACCTGTAAAAACGAGATTAAAAGAAACCAGGTAAAAATTTTAACAATTTAAAATGTAACACAAATTTCACATCCCTCATATTTTGGCCGAATCAATTTTATAAAATTATAAACGTCAAAACAATTAATTTGATGTTGTTGACCTCATTTTGAGTTCATTTCTCTTCTCCTTAGATCCTAGGATCTAGCTCTAAGAATTCCTATTGACTAACTTAGAAGACTAGTATTGGGAGATCCATCCTTATTAGTAATTCAAGCCGCCTCCTGATTCTCTTGTGGTGTTTTGCATGGGTGATCCCAAACCATTGTCATTTGGTCGAGTGGTTAAGGACCACCATGTGGACTCAGAGAGAAGTTCCCAATAAGATCTCAAGCCCTAGGAAAACCCCTTTAAGACTTTATCAAAAACACATAATTCACTAAGTTGCGCAAGGTCGGACTAGAATTAAGCCTAAAAAAGGTTGAAAATGTGAACTACTCCGAACGACCTCTGATAGCGAAACGAACTACTCCGAACGACCTCTGATAGCGAAACGAACTACTCCGGCGCGTCCGGGACATCGTTTTTAGCTAGGGAGGACACTCATATTGTCATAATTCTGCACACGAGCAAATCGCACGCAAATTGACAAATTCATCAAAATGACCTCGGACGATGAAATCGACCTCGCCAACACGCACTGAACGTCAGAATTACCTAAAAAAGACATTCATTTTGTTATGCTGTGACACACGAATAAAAAAGTACGAATCAAATATTATTTTGGAAAAATTAAATATTTTTATATTTATATTATTAATTATAATAACATTTACAATTCTAAACCCTATTTATCTCTTTACCTGCATAATTAGCTCCCCACTCGCT